AGCAGACAATGCACCAATGTTTCCGGAAGCCCTTCTTGGCACACCTTGCAAAGCTCCGCTTCCTCGTTTCTCTGATTGTGACTTCTTCTTTCGTTGAGCCATACATTCACTGGTAGTGCCACGTGCGCTATTAGCCATTGCATACTTCTAACTTGACCCAGTCTGATAGATAGGATGTTAGACCACGGTATAGCGGGCATTAGGCTCCTAGGGATCCCTACTTTCTTCTCCCAGCATTTGGTCAGAGAGTGTCCCATGGAGCTGGATCTGTTCCTCAGTCTATACCCCGTTTTTGTGGTATATTGGAGGATGTTGATTCTTCTTGCTACTCTTGATTGCCCATTTCTAATGTTCCAAGCCCATTCTCCAGGGTCAACCTCTAGGTCCTCGATTGGTACTGTTGAACTGTATACTCTTCAATCTCTATCACTCTTACCTTCTGTAACCCTTGTTTGAGAATATACAGTGGTGCTTTGGAAGACTTATCTAGTTGGGAAGTGGTACTGCTCGGCTGTATTATGTCGTATTTATCAGCTGCTAGCCATTCATTCCTATCTTTGTCCGTTTCCCACACCCTGAAGATCTGTTTAGGCTCCGGATCATCTTCCCATGTAGCCCAATCTCCCTCACGCCATTGCTTTCCCTCTCTCAGCAAGAGAATCCAGGATGGGTGTATGGAGTCTGTGACTATTCTCAGATTGTCCTGAAGGTTGTGGCAACCCTTCAATGCTCTCCTCAGTTCCCCTGCTGTTTTCCACCGCTTGTTTTCGTCCTCCCAAATATGTTTGATCTGCCATATTCCATGTTCCACCCATCTGCCCCATCTCGAATCCTTGCTAATTAGTGTTAGAGGTTTTCCGCCGCTATCCCTAATGCTGATATTGCAGAAAATCTGCCATATTCCAGTCCGGTTCCTATTCCACCGGCAAGTCAGAATAGACATTACAATAAGAACCACCCACGCTTCTTTCCGTCTGGCCGAAGGACCCCTGAGCAGCATTGATTGCTCCACCTTGGTGGAGGATTGACTGCCAGCTTGCCATGCCTCACTCTTTCCTCTCAGACCTGATAACCAGATCTGCCAGATAGGTCCATGCCACCTAGAAAGAGCTCACTCATTGTCCAAGCTAGCCTTTGTACCCCCACTTACCCGTCCTGCCCGTGAGCCACAATACCCTCTGTCCCACCCATTTTTTTTTTTTCCAATTCCCTTGAGAAGCGTCCCTAAAAGCCTAAACCCTAAACCCTCATCTGGAAACCATTGCCGACACCTTTGTGACTCTTCGAATCCCCTCCTAGGCTGGGTTGTGCGGCTACATTGCTGGGGCCTTGACTGTTCCCCTTGAGTGATATGCGACCTTCTTTCCGTTGTAACCTTTCTCCAGCATTTCTTGAGTCTTGAATCAATTGTTTCTCCGTTGCTAACTTGCTACGGCCATTTAGTCTCGTCCGTCCATCTTTGAAATGTTTCTCCGTTGCTGCGGTCATTTGGTCTTGTCCGTCCCTCGTGGAGGTCTGATCAGGAGGTGTTTTGCCCGTCCGCCGTTATCTATTGTTGGTAGCCCCTTCCTGAATTTGAGTTATGCCAGTCTTTCCAGCAAATGCGGTCTTCTCGTAACTCCGCTATTTTACCGCTCGGCGCTTGTCAACCAGATCCTGCTGAATCTCGGTCTCACCTTCTTTTGTTGTTTCTCATCCTCCGTCCATGATTGTTTGGTCTTCCGCCATCTGCAGAGGATTTCGGCTTGTATCATCGTTTTCGTCTCCGCCCAAACCTTCTCACGCGGGTTGGACAGTCCTTCAATCGCTCTGCTGCATCTTTCCTTCCATATGACCCATAGCGTCACCTTCCTGACGAGTCCAAACCAAATCTTTTCTGCCTTCTGGAGCTGTTCAGGGATGTTAGTCAAGAGGAGACGTTGGATGGGTTGTTCAGGGAAAGGGGTCGGGAATAGGGAATCCCAGAGTGCCGAGGCTCTTGCCCAGTAATCTGTCGCCTCACTACAATGCACTAAGCAGTACTATATGTCCTCTACCGCACCTTCCGTGCAGAACGTGCACAGATCAGAACTGTTTGTTGTGATCTGAACCCTTTCGCCTAGTGTGTAGCCATTGGTTCACTGGCAGTGCCGCGTAAGTGATTAACCACTTGAAGGCTTCTGATTTTAATTGGCCTGATAGACTTGAACTTCTTCCACTGGACCTGTGTGAGCTCGTCTGCCTCTTGGCCCAATAGATTCTGCCCATCTTTTTTTAATGGTGGGATCAGGGTCTTTGGTTTTCAGTGACAGTCTGTACCCCAGTTTAACTGTGTATTCGTGAATTGGAATTTTGGATTTAATATATTCTTAGTCTTGTCCGGCGTCCAAGCCCATTCTGCTGGGTCAAACTCTAAACTATGAATCGCCGTGTCAGGTCTGAAGATTAACTTTCGCCATGAGCCAAGGACTCTTACCTTTCTAAGTAAGAAGAACGGTATGGATTTTATTTATTTATTTATTTATTATTATTATTATTATTTTTTTTTTTTAACAAAACAGGGCCTTATGGTCCTGGCTCCTTCTATTCTGGGGAGCGTCAGTCCGGTTCCTTTTCCACCGGCAAGTCCGGTATGGATTTTGTAGTTTTCCGGTTTCCCACATTTTGTTTCATACTTCTGATATTGGTAATTGTCTTATAGAAAGTTATAGGTGCTATGTGGCTGACGAACTCATCTGGTGAAGATCAGGAGAATATCGAAAGCCTAAAAGTTGCAGTGTGGCGTGGAAAAGAAGTGTGATAGACAGGAGGGTGGGTATTGCCACTGTCTCATCGATGAGCCAATCAGCAATGCAAGTGCAGTACACAGGCAACGGGATGGGATGACCTCAAGTAGCATGAGACAGAGAGGGTGTGTGACAAAACAGGAGAGGATGATAAGTAGTATTTTAAACTAGTTTAAAGTATTTTACTATTTTCAATTTATTTACTACTAGACCTCTGAACCGTGCGATGAGCCAGGCTGGTCAGTAACTTTGGTATGGACCACCAAACGCGCGCGCGCGCGCGCGCGCGCGCGCGAGAGAGAGAGAGAGAGAGAGAGAGAGAGAGAGAGAGAGAGAGAGAGAGAGAGAGAGAGAGAGAGAGNGGGGGGGGGGGGGGGGGGGGGGAGACAGATGGAGGATGAGGATCAAGTGGCTTCATGAGATTCAGTCCCTTCAGAAACAGTGGACAGAATTACTGACCTGTACCAAAGGCACTGCTGCAATCCATGCCAGGCTTGGCAGTTTTGCATCCTTGCGCAAACGATTATAACCATCAATGAGCCTCATCAATCCTCCCTCCTCCCCTTTCTTAGGCATGACTTAGCAACCATACGACATACAGACAAGACCAGGAGCGTAATCTTAGCACATCATTTAGAAAAAAGTTGAAAAAAGTTTTAAAAAGTTAAAAAAAAAGTGTGATACTGCCAATACATTAATACGAAGTTACAAACAAATCGATGCAATGACCTGTTTCATACTGGCGAAACAGATTTGGAATTTTGGATACAATTTATGAGGATAATAAGTATTAATAACTTATTAATGATAACAAGGGTCACAACTTACAATGCTACACCGTAGGAAATAGAAATAAAATTTATAAAAAGTTAAAAACTATTAAAAAGTTGTTAAAAACACATGGGGAAATAAATTTCAAATAATGTGAATTTAAAATTATTAACAAATAATAACTCGACTTACTAAAGTTAGAATGGTACTATACGATGTATACATATTATTCCCCCCCCCAAAAAAAAACAGCAGGCAGACTACAATCCTGTACACAAGCAAAGTCGAAAAGGTAAATCACTCATACGACACTGGCTGCCCTTCCCAAAGCAAAAAAAAAAACAAAAAAAAAACAGGTACATCACTCTTTTGAGTCTTTGTTGCGAGTTGTCTCAAGGAGACTGGTAACCCTTATAGACGTCACATCAGCAATAGAGGCCAGCCGCCAGTGCTTATTCCACCGCTATTCTTACTAGCTCCCTTCTTCCCCCGAATACAACGTACGGTCATTATAGCTGTATTTGAGCCATCTTTCAGTCTAGTTACAGCTATAATGACCGTACGTTGTATTCGGGGGAAGAAGGTAGGCATCCTGCACCCCTCCCATTAACGCGGTAACACCGGTAAGCCTTTACACACAACCGTTCAGACATTTAGGGCCGGGTAAAATATCTGGCATCCAGAAAAAAACAGGCTTGAGAAAAGTTGAGATTAGTGGTGGTTGGTTGTGGTCTTCATGTCCAAGGCTAAGAAGGCTTCATTTCTTGTTCATTTTTTAGGTAACCCTCTTTCTGTTGACTATTTATGTTGACTATTTCTGTTGACTATTTCGGTTGAGTATTTCTGTTGACTATTTAGTATTTATCAACTTGGTCGTAAACATCCTTGAGCAAGGGCCATGGTAATCTTCTCTGCATTGATGCAAGTTCACCGGATGTTGCAAAGAAGTATACTGATTCCTATTTCGGAATTTCCTCTTGGTATTAAAGGAAGAGAAATTGAGGACAAAGCAAGTGTTTGCTGAGCATACCAAAATTTTGAAAAAAACAAGAAAGGTAAGGACAAAAAAGAAAAAAAAGGAAAAAAAAAAGCACAAGGATAACGGATCAACAATCATGATAGAAAGGTCAGCAGGAGAAGATAAACACATCAACAACACAGAGGAGGAGGAGGAGGAGGAGGAGGAGGAGGAGGAGGAGAATGGCAAGTTGTAGAAGGAAAGGGAAGAGGAATAACATGGTATAGCATGGTACAATGTCCGCATAGTCCTCTCCAAGTTTGCAGTGCATGCCCATTGCTTCCCGCCCCTTGCATCCTTCCCTCCCTCCCTTCCCCCTGCTCTCCATCCCTCCCCTCAATGGTGAGTAGGCTCTAAAGTTTCAAGTGATAAGGTGTGGGAAAGTACTTGTCGACATCACTGCGCCAATCTGAGCCGCTTTCCTGATTTGCATGACCGTCAGTGGAACCATGGCCGATCTCAACAACAGTGTCATCCCAACAATAGTTAACCACCTGCAACACACCAAGCACCGAAACAAACGTCGACTATGAATGGCACAGGCCCACCTCCTTCCTCCCTACTGTCTACCACCTCAAGCCTTATTACAGGCCTTGAATCGCATGCACTCTCCTCTTCACAGCCGGCATGGCTCCCAACTTTACCCCCTCCCATCCTCGGGTTACCAGAGTGGCCCGGGACCACTTGCCCGGACGTGCCAAAAAGGGAGAGAGAGAGAGAAAAATCATTAAAAAAAGTTATTATTGTTTTTGCTTTTTGAAATTTGGTAAAGAAAATGTCGATGTGACCCTGGGGCAAAAGTTGTTCAGTTTATTTTTTTGGATAACAGTTTTTTTTTCAGTTTTTTTAACTTTTTTTTTTTTTTTTTGCTGCTGCCACCTTCTTTAGTTCCTTGCACGGCCGGGCCGCCCGGGAAAACAAGGTGACCCGGGCCGCCCGGCTGCTATCCTAGCTCCCATCGTAAATAATATCCCCACCATGCAACATACATGTGACAGCTATGGTTCCTCTCCTCTCTCTCTCCTCTCTCTCATAAACCCAGTATTTCTCATGAGAACAAGTAAGAGAAGTTTTTTTTTTTTCTTTTCTAAAGCTATTTCTTTCTTTTCAAAGCAACCACAGCTTAGTTTATTACACTTTCTTTGCAGTCTCAAAACAGATGCATTGTATTATGCCTCCTCCATCTCCATGTCATCTTTGTCTTCCCTTTTTTGAAAGGAGGTACCCATCCCTTACAAAGTTAAGATTATTTTACCCATCTAATCTCCACCATACAATTTGTTTCATCAACATTTACGTGTGTATAGTACTGTATACAATTCCGGCACATGGACTGGGTCATCTCCGGACTCCACAGACTCCAGAGTCCATAGTACTCCATACCCATCTTCCATTAAAAAAAATTCAGTGGAACGTAGATGACCAGTCATGGACAACTACCACCAGTTTCTCCCATGGAAACAAGAAAGTGGAAGAAACACAATAGCAACTGAGCAACTGAGCAAGTGATCTCAAATCCTTCAGTTTTTTTGCTTGTTTTTATTTTCGGTCTCGAGAGATACATTTTGTCACGTCCCTCACTATCTTCATGTACATGACCATCTCCATCTCCATCTCTCATCATCAAATTTCAGAGGAACACTAGATGACTGATCGCTGTCTTATCTGACAAAAAAAAACAAAAACAAAGAACACCCTTGCTTCTGTGTAAATCTCAAGTTTTACTGCTCTACTGTTTTAGTTACTACAGTAGTTACCTGCACTCCATCTCAATATGTTATGCCCTCCCCTCCGGTCTAAAAAAAACATGAACATTTTGTCGCATGCCTGTCTCTAGACAGGTATGGCGCAGACCCACAGGTAAGTGCACCTCTGGATGAGTAACCCCTGACCCAAGAGGATTCACCAGAGTGGAGAGAAAAAAAAGAATCAACCAGCGTAGAGTGCACCAACGGTACAATGCGGTGCAAGTGTGAAATCAACCAATGTGTCTCCAACTCCCCATAAGCTTTCCGCTGCATGCCTGCCTTCCGACAGGTATGGCGAAGACCCACAAATCACCATCCCATCTTTCCCTAATAGAACATACGGCAGAGTCGCCGCCTCTGGATTGGTCGGCGACTGACCAGGCATCCGTTCCACCGGTCGGCTGTCAATCCGCCCCCCCCCAAAAAAAGGAAAAAAAAGAAAAGAACGCCCAGCATCAGTGAGCAAATGCTGGTCAACCTGCTTTGCTCTGTAAGTCGACCACATTCGGTGAACTGTCTTTGTTCGTTGACTTTCACCCTCTGACCAAGCCTTGATGCGACAGGCCTGCAATTCACCCCAGCAGATGACTGTGCGATTGGAAGACCAATAATACCAATACATCATCAAAACATTGCCAGCAGAGCTGAGTAGAGAAACGATGGCTCAAAGACTATCTACTGGTGGAAGGGCTCACAGTACTACACACATACAACTGTTGATAAACAGGTCATCAGTTCAAGTCCCTAGACTCCTAATGGAAACGATAATGTTAGTTGCTACCCCCTTCTGAAAAAAGAAAATGGTTTAGAACTTTAGAGAGGAATAGCATGAGAGAGATTCACATCACAATATAAACTATTGGCTGTATTCAGGTGAAAAAGGTCACCATATGCACACGGGGTTTCCTTGCCGGAAGCCCAGTGGCATCCACACCAGCAGGCTCCTTCCCGCGAAGAAACTAAGCAAAGAGTGAACGAGACAAAAGAAACCATGAAACTCGTATGAATCTTCTGAAGTTAGAATACTTCGTAGGTTTACAACTTCACACCATGGACCCTCCAAGTACATACTAGCATGCGAATGCAAGAAACAAAATAACGAAGTACGAGGGAGAGAGCGAGGGAGAGAGCGAGGGAGAGAGCGAGGGAGAGAAGGGGAGGGGGGCGCGCG